TAATAATAATAATAATAATAAAAATTTAATGAGTTGAGATCCCTTGCCTGCAGCCAGACCTTCATGGCTGCTGCCTGAGGTGACAAGAGCACTGTGATGGCTCTGGAATTTTAATCAGGAGAGGCACAATCACACTAGTGTTTCATAAAGAGTACCCTCGGTGGGGTGGGTGTCAGAGTGGAGCCGAAGGACAGAGGTCAGCAGAGCACGAGGGAGCAGTGGCAGCTGAGGTCAGGGGAAGGGTTGTGGGGAGGGGAGGATGGGCTGTGTCCCCAGGTCTGCACGTGAACTCTTGTGAGGACAACCATGTGTGAAAGTTTTGCAGAAGGAAATATATCTGCTGTACCAAGAAGGCTCCCTTCCACCAAATGTTCCAAGAAGGGTCTTCATGCTGGTGAGATGAATGTCCATTTCTGGAATTTTCATTTGGTGAGTGTGATGGTTAGTTTGATGTGTTCACTTGGCTGGGTTACAGTACCTGCTTATTAAATCAAACACTTTCTCAAAATAGTGGCCACTGCTCCAATAAAAAGGCTTCTGCTAGCACCTCTGGACCTGACATCACAGGCTGCCCCTGGGCTGCCGCCATGGCCTCCCGCTGCCCCTGGGCCACCCTTGCAGATGATGGGTGCAGTGCCTATTTTCCCCTCTACTTATAACAGGAGGGTCCCCAGGAGAGGGGGGTTTCCAGGTTCTCTGCCCTACCCAGGAGGAGGGTGGAGTAGAGCAGAGAAGAGAAGAATCTGGAGAGGAGACTGAGGGGGAAGGAAGTAGGATGGAGAGCCAGAAGGGGACCTGAGGGGAGCACATGGAGCAGAGACAGGTGAAGAAACTGCACGTGCTCCTTCTTGGTCCTGGGCTGGTTGAAACAGATGTGAGTGAGAGACCTGTGGGGAGGTTCAGTATAGCAGCGTTTATCTTGATTTTGTTTTTGCTCTTTTCCTTCCAGCCTTGCTTTGGGCCAATCCCTTTTGGGTGGACTATTTTTTTTTTTAATAGTAGTTTATTTTTACATCATTTTGTGCCTTTTCCCATCTCAGTTGCAATCCCCGTGGACTTCCCATTACCAATTCACCTGTGTGCTATCACCATAGTCCCATGCACTGCCCCCTCCCCATTTTTTGATCCCATTCCCCACTCCACCCCATAAAATGTCTCTGGTATATAGTTGTTCATTATTATTCCCCCCACCCCGGTCATTTATGCTCCTGCTATGAGTGAAACCATCGGTATTTTTCCTTTTCTTTCTGGCTTATTTCACTAAGCATGATCCCTTCCAGCTCCATCCATGCTAATGCAAAAGGCATGAATTTATCTTTTTTAATTGCTGAGTAATATTCCATTGTGTATATGTACCACAACTTTTTAATCCAGTCACCTACTTTTGGGCATTTGGGCTGTTTCCATGTCTTTCCTACTGTAAATAAATCAGCAATAAACATGGGGTTTCGAATCAGTGTTTTTGTGTCTTTTGGGTAGATATCTAGGAGTGAGATTCCTAGGTCATGTGGAAGCTTCATTTTTAGCAGCTTGAGGAACCATCAGACAGTTTTCCATAGTGGTTGTACTAGTTTGCATTCCCACCAGCAGTGCAGGAGAGTCCTTTTGAATG